TTATTATTATTATTATTATTATTATTATTATTATTATTATTATTATTATTATTATTATTATTATTATTATTATTATTATTATTATTATTATTATTATTATTATTATTATTATTATTATTATTATTATTATTATTATTATTATTATTATTATTATTATTATTATTATCAATTTCTTTTCTTTCTTCTTTCCAATTCTCTACCACCGTTCATTTACTACTCGACGATTTTTTTTCGGATAACCCATTTCTTTATTCATTTACCTATTTTATTTCTCTATTATTCTCCTTCCCCTCTCCTCTCCTCCGTAGTTCCGCCGCCGGTAAGATTCCATAGTTTTTTATAGGCTTTCCTTAGCTTTCCATCCCTTAATAATTATATCTGTTTTTTTTATTTTATGTTTAACTGCTACTAATTAACACCATATCATAATGAACAAAACATTCCATTTCTTTGTAAACCGAAAAACCAATTATGGCAAAACATAACGCATAAATCTAGCATAGCATAAATTTTTTGTTGTGTTACGATAAAATCGTTGCTGGGTTCTTGTAGAATCGTGATCTTCTGCTTACCTTTCCCGGGTTTGTATGGAAACCACTTTCTCAGAGGCTTGTCTTAATGTGTGCTTGGGGTTAGGATTCGATTACATTTTGATAAGTTTTTTTTCTCTGTAATTATATGTGATTGGCATTACTGTTTTTAGGTTACGATGATCATTTCAAGAAAGCCGTTGTTTCTGGATATTATACATGAATTTTCTGCTTACCCTTTTTTGGGATTGTATCTGACAACCACATTCTCAGAGCCTTTTGTGATTGGCATTGCTGTTTTGCTGGGGACAATGAGCATCACAATGAAACCATTGTTGGAGTCTTTTAGAAACCGGGTTCTGTTCGTGTGTTCTTTTCATGTATGTGATTATCTGAAAACCAAATTCTCAGACTCTTCTCTTAATTTCTTTGTGTAGGTTTTGTAACAGTAACTTTGTAATTTGAGTTGAGGATTATCGGTGTTTTCATAGGTTTTCTGTAATTATATAGTGACTGGGGTTTGCTGTTTTCCAGGGTACTATGAGCAGTCATCACTGTCGACCGTCAATTATACTTGAACGGTGTGGTATAGGGACGAACTTTTTGGTTCCTTCTTCGAGATGCTTCAACCCATCTTCATTTGAAAGATTGAGCTTCTCTCGTGGCTTATTCTTGAAGGGAGTTAATGGCCAAGGTGCGAGGAAAAGGGTGTTGAAACTTTCGAGTGTGGCCGATGATGGGATGAATCCGGGTAATTCTGATGATGATGATGAAAAGGAACCACTTTCTGATAAAATCGAAGAGGTACATTTCGTTTGCATCATCTTATTGAATCAAAATTATCACCAGCATCATGATTTTAAGCTATGGAGTACTTTGGGATGTGACTAAAACTTTAATTCCTATCTGCTTATGAAGTAGAACTCGGTTAAATAGTTAACAGCTTTTTAGTTCGTTCTGCATATAGCCTATAAGATCAAGCTGCATAACCGTGAAGCTTCTACCCAGCCTTGGTTGCGCGTATTTTAACTGTCTCGAAGATAACTCACTTTATAAATGAATGAAGACAACATTTGTTTTACAAAAGTCGGTTACCATATCCGAAATTCCCAAAATGAAATGGATCCCATGATGATGGCAGTGGCACTAAGCATTCTTCGTGAGATATAGGAAAACCTAAGCAAGATAAAAGTAAAAGATCAATAGTCTAAAAGCTAAACTTGGGAAGTTTCTCATGAGGATAACTTAATGTATGTGCAATGAAAGATGAGAACCAGAGTTCTGGTTTATTTTTGAAACAAAACAGCTTAATGTATGGGCAATAAATTGCTCCTTGTAAATCCGGAATTTGTTTGGGTCCTTGAGCTCTTTTTTTTTTTCTCGGTTGATATAATATGATGCTTGTATTTTAACTTGAGGATTCTGCCTAGATTCAATCCTTACCAGAGATGAAACAGATGTTACATTTCCTAACAACAAACAAAGGGTAAATAAGACAAAGTGATATCACAAGTTTTGTCATTTTTGACAGTCTAATGCTGTTAACTGGTCGAATTAGTGCCTTCTCGTGTGTTTTTTTGGTAGTTGGTATCTTGAACAAAATTCGAGAATCTCATAGGACGGAAAAGCCCGTGTGAACAACTTTTCCAAATTTGAGTTAGAACTCGGAGCGGTACAGACGTTTTGCGCTCTTTTTCACCCGTTTCTCTTCTTGGAATGCATTTCTACGGATATTTGTGCCTTTTGTTGGACGAGCGTGTATCTTTAGCTCTGTTTGTTTCTAAGATTGGAACTTGTTATTTTTCTTTCAAGCCAGGTTTACTATGATGGTATTTATTCAACTTCTTTTCTTAAAATTTTTTTTATTTCAGCAAAATAATGATACGATTCGGCAAAACCTTGAACGAATGGTTGGCTCTGATGACTCTACATTTAGTGGCTTAGACCTTGCAACACTCATCAGGAAAAAGTACGGAAAGTCTTATGACGTTCAACTCATCAAGAAGGTACGCCTGTCTATATTTGGACCTCGTGATTTTTCTTGTGCCATGTTACTCTAAATCATACTTCTCTTTGTGATGTTGATGTACCTGCAAAATTACTTGAATACCTAGGGAGATATTGGCCGCCAGTTCTGTCTTTTTTCATAGCGGGTGATTGCAAATTCAGCCATGAGACTTTCACCAATCAAATTCAGAATTTGGGTTTCTGATACAGACGACTCTCTTACAGGATTCATAAAGGTTAACAACGAAATTAGGTATAGAATCAAAAGTAGGAATGGCCCCCAACAGCTCTGTTCCAGACGGGAAAACTCAGATTTCCACCGGCCCTATCTACAACTAAACTGAAATGACTCTAGGCTTGCATTGTGATCCACCAGGACTGTGTTGGGTTTCGCTACGGGTTCCTAGCATGCGATCATATCGATCTAGGGTTTGGTTTACTAGGTTTCATGCAGCGGAAGGATAATCTAAACCTAGTCAAACGTCACACGCAACCAAAATCATCCGTAAAACCCCGACAGATCGTGTACATCACCGTAGGAATCGAATACTTACCTCTTTCCTGAAGATCTGAAAGTAGCAATCGATCCAGGGCCTGTTTTAATCACCAAGAGCTGAAAGTACAGCTCCTCTACACGTATCCACACCGACGGGAAGGATTCCAAACGCTTTTGGAACTGATCTGCTAGGATCTGTGAAGTATATGAAGTGGGATCTAATCCCGGGAGCTAGAACTATGAAAGAAACGATTTCTTCTGAGTTTTTGCTCTGTCTTAGGGTTCTGTAAGTCGAGTTCTCCTCTTAGGACGGCGTCCAACACCCTCTTATAAGTTAGAAACCCTAATCCTTGTGAAAAAAAAACTTTTTCCGAGTATTGACTCGGTCCGAGTCAGAACTCTGACTCGGTCGAGTCAGAACGAATCAGCCCAAACCCATTGTCAACTCTTGACTCGGCCCATTGAGTATTGACTCGGTCCGAGTCAAAACATCAGCCAAGCCCAAAACACTTTCTGGGCTTCGACCCGCATGGAACTGACTCGATCCGAGATAGAAGGCTGAAAACGTCCCGACACTCTGATTTGATCCGAAAACGATTTTTCCGACCAAATCCAAGTCTTCCTTTCCGAAACTTCACATATAAGTCCATCCCTAATGGTGTGTGACCCTGTAGGCCCATTCGCAGTGGCAGCAGCCTCGAGAACCATTCCCGATCTACAAGTCATGGTTAGCCTCTAGCAAGACGCCATGACCACCCACGTTGAATTGAGTCAGAGGTGATCTAACCAAGGCAATAACAGCTCGAGTTCTGATCCTTTATCTCACGATATCATATGTTGAACAAGGGCATGGTTTGAGCAACCCTTCAAGTTCAACCGCTTTCTCGTCTTGGCAAATCAACTAATAAAATAGATGCAACTTCATCTATAGCGTGGCCACGCATTTTCATAGTCCGACTTCCACGAGAGGGCCCAGCGATATCTCTCCTATTGAGGAGGTGATAAGTCCCATATTGCATGTCTATTATCTCCATATGATTCGTGAACGTATCTGATCAACGCCGTTATAATCATCCGGTTAAAGACGACGTTTGACGCAGTCAAGACACGCCACTCCTCATATCAGATACTCTAGACATCTCAGGTATGAGGATCCATAAACGAACCGCTGTATGAGATTCAAGTCATGACTCTGTCCATGTGACAATCTCATGCGGGTCAACCAGTCACTCGTTCACAACGAGTACCCATGATTGTGAAATGCATCCAATGCATCGATCACACCTCATGCTAGTCTTAATTCATCATAGTTCCCACAATGATAACTGACCAGGGAGTTTAGAATCATTCTATAATGATTCAAGGATACCGAAATATAACAAACATGCCAATCATATAACGGGAAGAGTAATGCATTCATAAACTAATGAATCAATATAAAGTCAAATGTCATATCACGGATCATCCTAGAGCATTAAAACCAACAATCTCCCACTATGCTCTATGATCTATCCTACAAGCATCTAATCCCCATACCCCTAACATGACCATCATGTTTTGACGAAGTGAGAGGCTTCGTCATCGGGTCGGCAATATTATCATCTGTCGACACTCTGCTTATCTTCACGTCTCCTCTGTCGATAATTTCTCTGATCAAGTGAAATCGCCTGAGTATGTGTTTGGATCTCTGGTGTGACCGGGGTTCCTTAGCTTGCGCAATCGCACCATTGTTGTCACAATACAACTCAATGGGATCTGCAATGCTAGGAATGACGCCCAGGTCTCCCACGAATTTCCTGATCCAAACAGCTTCCTTAGCTGCATCCGATGCTGCTATGTACTCGGCTTCTGTAGTCGAATCTGCAACGGTTGGCTGTTTGGAACTCTTCCAACTGATAGCCCCACCGTTCAGGCAGAAAACATAACCTGACTGCGATCTGAAGTCATCTCTGTCGGTTTGGAAACTAGCATCGGTATAACCACTTATAGCGAGCTCGTCTTCCAATCCGCCATACACCAAGAACAAATCCTTAGTCCTTCTCAAGTACTTAAGGATGTTCTTGACCGCAATCCAGTGAGCCTCACCTGGTGTAGACTGATATCTACTAGTCATACTCAATGCATATGATACATCCGGACGAGTACACAACATGCCGTACATGATGGATCCAATTGC